GTCTTATTCTTCTATGAGAAACAAAAAAGTATAAGTTTTATAGCATCATCTGATACACCATCATATTTAAATGTAGCAAACAATTTTAGAAAATTAGCAAGATGTAAATTTGGATCTTCAGTTAGTGCTTCCCCAAACTGATTATTTGATTTCATTTGGATAATAGCATGTTTAAGTTCAAATTAATTAGCCAGCTCAGCAGATTTTTGAATACTACAATGAAGTTCATCTATTGTAGGGTTTGAATAATATCTTAAAGGTCTAAACTCATGATTAATTTCAACATTTTGATTATTTTGATGTCATTTCTTGAAATTTTTTGTCTTTTTCAGTATTTTTGATTTTTTAAATTTTTCTAATAGTTCTTTCTAATTCAGAATCGTAGGGCACTAGTCTTGTAGAACTTGAACTACGCATACACTACTACAAAACCACATAAAAAAAATTACACAAACAAGAACTTATATAAAAATAACATTGCAATATTCTTATAATAAATCTAAAAGTTTAAATAAGACTTTCTAATAATAGAAATTGGCTTTCTAAAAATTTCTTCAAAAATTTTTATATTTGTCCCTCGCAACATCATCAAAAACTTGATCTCGATTTTATATGACAATATGATGTATGCGATTATATTCTTAATTTTTCCTTACTTATAATTCTTACTTTGAAATGACAACCAGAAACTTAATCACCAGCAACAGCTAGGCAAAAATTTGACTTCAAAGCAAATAATAATGCAATTATGATATTTAATTATAGGATAATACGCATGTGTACGTACCATTACCAAGTAATATAAAACTTTTTTATTAAGCTTCAAATATCGAACCCACAGGGACAAAAATACAATATGCAACTAAAATTAGCAGAAATTAGATAACAAATTTTACTTAACAAAATATTCTCACTCAAACTTTAGATGTTATATTATGAATGAAAGTTCAATGCATTTTGTAATTTTTGATAATTTAAAGTAAAGTAAACAACTAACTATATTTAATTAAATATTTGTAAGATTAAGGCAATATAAATAAAATATATTTTTCCTTATCGTGAATCAGTAATAAGTATAGGAATTATGTTGCGAAAGTATTCAAATTGTGTTTTGTCAAATAGGAGCAATAATATTCTTTACTTTTACTAGAGGTTCTATAAAGAACATTGACTATTTTAATGTTTGAATAGTCTTGAAGATAGGTTAGGTATGGAAGATACTAGCTCTTACTCTAGAGTTCCATCTTCTCTCTCCACTTAAGGGCTAACATCTCGTATCAAAACCTAAAAATATAAACTGAATTGGGGCTTTAGCCTGTCACTCTAAAGTCCTTTAATTCTACACCCTTCAAAGTTTATTTCTCTATTTATTTGCACTGAATCATATGAATTACATTATCATTCATACAATCTCATGTGATTCTTACCATTAGTTGATTAAGATAATACCATCTCAGATCTTACATGTTCTCATAAAAAATATTAACATGTTAATTGGCCAAATCAAGAAGTAAATGAAGTACAATGTTTAAAATCATCACAACTTATTCCAACATTAAAGATTAATACTTCAATCAACTTCCATCCAATACTTAATCACTTATCATTTTAAGGAAAAAGATAAAAAAAACTACATAGAATTCATGGAGAAAACTTAACCACACTTAAGTTTGAAAGTAGAAATCATGCAAACAAACAAGAAGTTTAAATTAAAATCAAATGTAGTCATAAAGATAAAAACTTATCTCAAATCTTCTCCACAAAACTCTTGAATTTCTTTTGAATCTCTTCTATTCCTTTCTCTTACAATACTCTCTACTCATAAACTACAACTCTGTTCTTCTCTCTAATAATTTATCCTAATTAATCTAAGAGAGAAGCATAGGTGGCGTGGCTATGGGGGGTAGTAGGAGTCTCTCTAAGGCGCTGGGAGGAAGGCTAGAAGAATACTCTTCAATCCAATCCAAGTCCTTTTATAATTTTCCAAAAGGTGCATTGGTGTCTCTTCAAAATGTGTTCACATTCAATGAATCTTCTAAGAGTTTCCTCCTTTCCAAATCCAATTGAATGTATTTTTGTGTCCATTAACTATTTCCCACGTTTTCACTAAGGGTTGCTTCAAACACCTCTTCAAAAATTTGTCAAAATTCATTGAATCATCAAATAACTACTTACGACACTTAAGCGCGAGGTACTTGACGCTTAGGCACGACCTTCTCGGTTTTACTGGCGCGTAAGCGCCAGTTCTGGGCGCTCAGACATATAATTGCGCCTCTAGTGCTCTTTTGCACACCTTCTTTATTTTTGCTCCAAATTGATCCTTTTTCACTCATTTCACCATTTTCATCCATTTGATTGTACCTGAAATAAAAACACACATATAATAAACGAAAAACACACAAAGATAACGAAAAACACACAAAGATCTTCTATTAAAGCACAATATCTCAAAAATTGGTATAAAAATGTGTACATAAAGACTATATATTTTAGGTGTATCATGTATGCACAATACAATTAGCTCCAATTAGATAAGATCTAATTTTAACAAAAGAGAACACTATTGTCAATAATTTCTTTTCAGTAATAGTATAGTTAATTTGAGCTTAATAAGTGTTGTACTAGCGCAGTATATAACTTAAAAAATCTTATCATATTTTTGTCCTAACACAGCCCCAATAGCATAATCACTCGCATCACACATTAATTCAAATGGTTTTTCTTAATCATGTGAAAAAATAATAGGTGCGGTGATTAATTTTTTCTTTAATAAATTGAAGGCATTTTGGCATTCTTGATTAAAATCAAATATCGTGTCTTTTTTACAGAAGATGATATAGAGGCTTAGCAATTTTTGAAAATTCTTTAATATAACATCTGTAAAACTCAGCATGTTCTAGAAAACTTCTAACTCCTCTCACTACAATAAGAGGAGATAGTTTAGCAATAACTTGTATTTTTGCTGGATCTACTTCCCTGCTGCTTTCATAAGTTTTAGGTCCCAGCACAATTCCTCCTACTACTATAAATTGACATTTTTTCCTCAATTGAGAACTAGATTTGTTTCTTCACGGCATTTTAGAACTCCCATTAAATGATCTAAGCATGAATTAAAGGAGGTTCCAAAAATTGGAGGTATCCATAATATCCATTCAAATGAAATCTTCAATTCTTTTCTCAATTAGATCGCAGAAAATGGACATCATGCATCTTTGAAAAGTTGCAGGTTCATTTCATAAACTAAAAGACAATCTTCTAAGAGCAAAAGTTTGTGAATGTTATCTTTTTTTATCCTCAGTAGCTATAGGTATTTTGTGGTATCTTGAATATCCATCTAAAAAGCAAAAAAATTGATGCACAGCTAGCATGTCCAACATTTGGTCCAAAAAAGGTATAGGAAAGTGATCTTTCTTAGTGGCAAGATTCAACTTTATATAATTAATACTGATTCACCACTCAGGGACTTGTCTTGTTGGAATTAATTCATTATGTTTGTTAACACCTACGGTCACTTCCCCTTTCATAGAAACACGGTGAACAGACTAACACAAGCACTGTCGGAAATAAAATAAACGATTACAACATCCAACCACTTTAAAATTTCTTTTTTTACAGAATCTTTCATTATATGTGCTCCAGGCACATGTTAAGTGAAGTTTTTCTTGATCCAAGTATCATGTCATTGTTGACCTTGAAAGGGGATAGCTTTTGTCTGAAGCTAGCACAGAAATCAAGCACATTTTTGTGCTCAACAAGTTCTTAATGAGCAAAAAATTAGGTCAACAAACCACTACCACACAAGACAATAGGGTCCTTCATGATGTTATTGGAGTGAAATATGAGGGAAATATTTTCATACGGAACACGCACGAAGCTCTGCGTTACTCCCTTAACAATAACACAGTAATACCTCCATAATAATCTATAAATAACATCGAAATAGAACCCACGAAGGTTATTGGAAGATTATTTGGGTTATATGTTTCTTAAATTAATACCTCAATAACCCCCTAATAACTACGAAGCGGAGGTTATTGAGGGGTTATTACTCACGTAGCTCTACGTGTGTAATATGTATGGAAATATTTCCCGAAATATGAGGATGCAAAGAGTGTTGCTTTTTTTCTTAGATCTGGCGAGAGTGCTAGATTTGATGAATTGGTGCTTGAATAATTGACTAACAGAGAAACATTCAATTTATTCACAACTAGAATTTTATTTTCTTCCTTAAAAAAAAAATAGCATTACCTTTTCAAAACTTAGCTCTGAATGTTCCCTCAAGATTTAGCTGAGTATAAGACATACCTTTATTACTGGTGAAATATTAAAACACCAATATAAAAGATACACGGCAAATCTTGTTTATCATGCTTTGATTTGCCGCTAGTGTTTTTGGCGGGTATACTATTATTAAATTTAAAATAATTTTTAACATTTTACAAGGCATTTCTTTGTCTGTAAGATGATAACTTGGCAGCCATAATTATTAGTAACAACAATAAATAGCATTGTAAAATACATTGTTACTCAGTTCACAAAATTATATCATGCACACAGAACTATCGATAAAGATGTCGCGCAAAGTTTTTACTTGTTATTATTTTGTATTCAGGGATGCCATACGTCAAATAAAATGATCATAATTTTGGATCAAGGTATGCGAAGCCAGTTTGTTTCCAGGGCACAGTTCTGATAAACATATTGTCGCTAATTTTGCTAAAGCTTTTCACTTTGCCATTTCCATTTCACATATTTGTTCATTTTTATCCATTGCTTTGTTGGTTCTATCTGTTTCAAGAGCACAGTCTAATTCGTGTGTAGTGCTTCAATGAAAATGTTCACTAGGAAAATCTTAGAAATTTACATATATCAATCTGATATTCGAGAGTAAAAATATAAATTTTTTAAGCTTCATGTCTTCCCAAAAAGCATAAAAAGAACACAGTTTGAACTCTAATAATGCAAAAACACATTATAAATTACAATCATATTCCAAATAAAATAGTTTTAAACTCTCATCTGGGAACAAGTTGCAGCAAATAGGTGCCACCAACAAAGTTTTCTGGCATTTACGAAAATAACTCCATATAAACATTGTTCATAATACAAAGTCTACATGAATGAAGCCACCCACTGACAGTATCGCCAAAGCACTATCATCATAAGAAAATCAAAAAACTAAAGATAGCCCCTACGTCTCCCCAACTTCAAACCAAAAGAAGATAGAAGTCCTGGCATAGATCGCCCGAACGTGTTGGAGAACCAAGTTGCCATTTGTTGATACCGCCTTCGCTCCTCCCTCAATTCTAGTATTCGACACTGTGACACAGTCAGCACCGACACTGCCATGGCATTTTCCCTTCAATGCTAGAGATGTAAATCCATTGCATTCAGGTGCTGTGCTTACTATAGGGAATGAGAGGTAATCAAGAGGATTCTCCTCACACTGAAGAATGCAGCCTTCAACAGTGAGTCTCCCACTGCGGTGGAGTAAGCAACAACCCAGTTCTGCTCTTACGGTAAGGTTTGCAACTTTACATGTGGAAAAGAACTCAAGAGCACTGTATATAGTTTGGAAGAAAAATTCGGAAATGAATACAAATTGTTTCCAGTGAATGCATAAAAAGATTAGTATGTTATAATTCATAGTTACATATAAGCAAATTATTTTATATGGTTTGCAACTTTGCATGTGGAAAAGAATTCAAGAGCACTGTATATGGTTTGGAAGAAAAAAGGGAAATGAATCCAAATTGCCTCCAGTGAATGCATATAAGATTCATATGTTATAATTCATAGTTACATATAAGATCAGTATGTCAAATGGTTTGCCATTTTGCATGTGGAAAAGAATTCAAGAGCACTGTATATAGATTAGAAGAAAAATTTGGAAATGAATCAAAATTGTTTCCACTGCATGCTTATAAGATTCTTATCTTGTAATTCATATTCACATTCTCATAAAACAAGAGTTAAAATACGAAGCGAACCTTTCATAACCTCGCAAACAGGTCAGAATGGTATCGTCAGGCAGTTCACCCCCACCTATCTAATAAAAACAAAGATGCGCGGAAACAAGTTGAGAGAAGACCTCACAAAAATGAGGTCAACACATGCAAACAAGTTAAATAAGAGCACTGAGTCAATCTAATCTGTAACAACTAAACCGATCCGGTAGATGCCATAAACTACTGGTAGAATGTGTTTGAGCAACAAATAGGTAAGAACTTACGAGGCACAGAGGTTTCTTAATCTGAAGGTTATGGGCAATGTAATCTCCAGCAGCAGAGATGAGAATGGTATCACCAGGACTTTATCACAAAATAGAAACCAGCATGAATACCTTTCTCTCTGATCAAATTCTCACATCAAAGTAAAACAACTGACCGTGCAGCAGCAATTGCAGTCTCAAGAGTAGAATAAACTCCTGGTTCAGCTAAGCTTTTTGCTGAACATTCTACACGCAACCAATGCCGAGGATGGCATGCCAAGTACCGCCATCTGTGGCAAACGAGTGCGGTATTATACCGGTCTGCAAACTCAACAAGAAAACACTAAAGATTTCATTCATAGAAAAGGAAACAACAAGATTAAAATCCAGAAAAAAAAATTTAGCAAATGTTAATAGAGCAGGTGTAAGGAAATTTAAGGACAAAGGAACCCACTTCAGGTAAGCCATCTTGAAAAGAGATCTCTTTCTTAGTTGTCTTACAAAACAAGTGAAGCCCTTTAGTTCAAACAAAGTAATCATTAGCCAAAAGTCGTGCTTAAAACATAGGAATAATACCTCAATACCTTTTAGACAAAGATCCTATTAGAAACTAAATTACGCAAAAGAAAGCTGGCAATATCTTTCTTGCTTCTAGCATGGAAATATAGTATGAAATCACTTCGGATTGTCAAATGTTGATTAAGAAAGTTTAACAAGTAAAACCATACTCCTTGGTCTGCAACATAACTTTAAAACAAGAGAGTAATAGGACTCATTGGAAGAGACGAATTAAAACCTAAAAGATTTGGATTCTACTGTATTAAAAATTCATTATAATAGCCAACGTATAGAAACACGGTAATCTGTAAGGCAATTCTTCAATATCTCAAAATTCACATTTCCTCGGTAGTGATCTTATACAAATGCAATAAATCATGCAAAAAGACAAGTCCTGAACAAAAGATAACTTTCCGTGTAAGAAGGGCGAATTGTAGCTTCAAAATTATAATCACAATAAAGTATCCATCAACTTCATCATAGACTTGTTAACAATTTGGGATCAACTAACAAAAAATTGAAAACAGGCACATTGAGCTCATAAGGACCTGTTAAAATTGTAGGAAATTGGCCATGAATCAAGCCACACTTTCCTCTGCCTTTCCCTTGACTCGAACATACAAATTATGAAGAACACTTAGACATCCTCAAATAAGGCATGAATTACACTAAGCTTTCAAAATTTCTTATAAGCCATCATTTCTATCATGTACCAAAAATTGAAGTTTTTGTGTTTGAACCGACATTTTGAAAATTACTTTTGGTGCTTGTCTAGGGCAGTGTGTGGATTTACCCTTGGAAAATTTGGTGAAGCATTCAGTTTGTAAGGATATATCGTGGGATAGAGTTCACATTTCATGTCCCATTAGTGAGGGTAAGACTTTATGATATGTACTTAAGTAATAAATTATAAACTTTCATAAATACTTTTTATCTCTTTAAATAAAAAAATATAGGGGGATTTACATGCATGTCACTCAAAGCTTTCCAAATTACATAACTCGCACCCAAACTTCACTATTTACACAGAGAACACTTATAACATTAAAATAAAAACAAAAATAGCAAGCTTGTACAACATCCTTACCCCTGTTATCCACTACCACTAAATTTTAATTCGAAACTTGTCCTAAAAATGTAAAATTTTAGCCTTCCACCGCCTATAAATCAATCAGTAACACTCTAAAAATCCTGGGAACCGTCTAACACCTCCCCATCATTTGATATCATCGTAAAAGTGATCCAAAACCTTGTTCTTTTGTCTTAAAAGAAAAAGAAATTTAACAATCCAAGAAGGCACTATCATCACTACAAGAAACAAGCCTATCTTAAAACTCCTTCACCAAAGAGCACTTCCATCGAAATATTTTTATTTCAACAGGAGGAGATATTATACTTCATCAATAAAGCATCATTAAATCAACTAGTAATATATAATTTCTTTAATATGAATTCCCTTTATTTCAGTAAGAATCTATGCAAATGACATCTAGAATATTGGCATGTTCTATTGGCAATTTTAAGTATAATTTGCTAGTCCTTTGAGAACTAAACAACAAATAAAAGCCAATCAATATTATCTAAAAACCCACCAAACCCCCTTTGATACATGAGAGATTAATGCAATGTAAAGGTGTGGTCCACAAAAATACTTCATGCAACTTATTAGATGTATTTTTAAAAGTTTTCAAAATGAAATAATATTTTATTGATATTTCCCTTAATTTTTGTAGCTTTCTATATGCTTAACAATATTTATGAAAATAAGTAATCTTCGTGATTCATGAAGGATTGGGCGGTAGGGCTCTAACGATGGAGTTGGCGATTCTATGATTCAAGATTTCAGTGAGATTTTCCTCTGTTTAGAGGCTCTGGTTTAGTGATTCTCTTGCTTCGGTTATTTTTCTGTGGGGTTTTTCATGATGGTTTTTTCCGAATTGACCTTCGTTTTGAGAGATATTTGCGGGTAATCTGAATTTAGTTTCTAATGACGAGACTATCTTTTCTTTCAGTTCAAAGATCAGATGGTAGACGACTCGTCTGCTGGGCTTTTTAAAAAAGCAGCTCAAAAGATTGGGAAACCTACAATTTTATATCAGGAAGAAGAGACTGACGTCATAGTGGAAAGTTAAGAGTTGAATTTAGTGGGGAAATTATGTTTGCGCATCCTAGAATGGAAGTTACCCGTAAATTCTTTACAGATTTAAAGCTCTAAGATCACAGGAATGTTGGGCTCATTGATGGGAGACATCTTATGATCAGGTTGGAGAAAGAAGTAGATTATACTTCTTTATTCTCAAAAAAAAAATTTGTTAATTTAAAAGGTTAATTTGAAGATCTTGAAGTGTACGACATCATATAACCCTAGGGAAGAACGCCGATTGTGCCTATATGGTTTCAATTTCTAGGTTTGAAGTTGAATCTGTTTAATACGAAGGTTCTTTATTCTTTAGGCACCATTTATGGTACTCCTATGAGGATAAATCATGCTACTTTTAAATGTAGTAGACCCTCTGTTGCTCGTGTTATGGTCGAAAGACAATGTCATTTAGTGATTTTATTTGGATAGGAGATTTGAATTAAAGTTATTGGCAAAGTGTTGAAATGGAATATGTTCCTCCTTATTGAAGTAATTGCAGAATGTTTGGGCATAATTTGGCAAATTGCTTTGTTACACATCTTGGATTGAGAAATTTCAAAGGAAATATGCTTATAGAGAGAAAAACTGATAATAATGCGGAAGGTTGGATACTGATAGGGTAGATCATAATGTTATTCAATGTGAAGAAGTTATAGTTGAAGTGAATGGAAATAATATTAAAGTGAAGGTTCCACAGGGAGTTTTGATTGGGGAAACAAATCCTGCAGTTACTATCGATTGAAGATAAAAGGAAGAAGAGGTGGGTCTATCGATCGAAGATAAAAGGAAGAAGAGGTGGGTAACTCTTCTCTTATTAATAATAAGTTTGTGAGCAATGTAGTTGATGATGTTCTTCCTATTAAGGGGGAGAAAGGTGATAAACAAAATAGTAAAAGTAATGATAATGTGGTTATGAATGTTCTTAATAACTCTGATAATGTTAATATTGATCATAGTCTAGTTCTTACTAGATCTGAATTGGAGGAAGACTGGTTGATTCAAAAATCTTATAGAACGAGGAAAACTGAAGGTATAAGAGAACTCAATTATTTTCATCTAGATGCGGCTCAATTACAAGTGAATGGTGATTGGAATGAATTAAACAGACTATTTTCGCCTTCCTCTAGAGTTACTAGAAGTTCGAAATCGGTTAATGATGTTTAATTTTCTTATGTGGAATATTA